GGGTAGATATGCGGTTAAGATCTACAAGATGTGTCAGACTTGGCGGACCAATAAGTTAAGACAACATAGCAGCATGTGCTTGTCTGAAGAGGAGTGTTCTAAGGACGCTCTGGAAGGAATGAGGTCCCATGAGTGCTGTATATATGGGGAGAGAAGTTCCAGAGGAGGGGCGAAGTAAGAGAGAAGTCCAAATGGTCAGAGCGGGAAGAGGAGAGAAGGTCCACGCGCTGGGTGGGAGTTGGATTTTGGATGGGGCCTGAGAATGGAGGAGTCAGACTAGAAAGAACTTTGCTGTTTATAGAACAAGTTTACATTGAACTCTCTTAATAACTGGCAGACGATAGAAAGATAAGAGAGAGGGATGGATGAGTCAGGCCACAGAGTTCAGGAGGAATTGGAGCCAGGTTGGTTTCCCGGCAGACCACAGAGGAAGGTATAACAGGAATATTTTGTAGTTTTGTGTCTGTGAAGGTTCTCTTTCATCCGGGTCACATGGTATATATGTAAAAAAATAAGTCAAGGCGGCTGGACTCGCTGTATTTTTCTTGAAGACGTTTCACTGGTCATCCGACCAGCATTCTCAAGCCTGAATTGAGAAAGCTGGTCCGATGACCAGTGAAACGTCTTCAAGAAAAATACAGCAAGATAAGTTGCCGTGACTTATTTTTTTACAGATATTTTGTAGTTGTGTCTCTTTTTTTTACATTAAGCAGCATTAGGGTTAGCGTTAAGGTTACCTAGAATAGGGTACCTTAGGGTAGGGTAACCCAAACCCTTTTTGCATGTTTTCTAGGCACTTGTTTTCTGTTTTGCTGAAAGAAAAGCTTATTGTGTACAGAGCTCAGTAGCTCAAACTTAAATGTACAGTCCATATACAACTAGAAGATCTTTGTGTACAGAGCTCAATAGCTCAAGCCTAAATACACAATATGCAGTATATACAACTGGATGAGTTAGAGGAGTGACTGGCTGTTATTTTTGAATGGTGTTTTTTGCTCTAAATGTTTCACATTTATATTGTATTTGTTTTAGATTCTGGGTTGATTGAGGCTGTGTCTAATCTGAACAAATCAGGTAATTATCGTCATTCTCTGAAGGTCTACGTACGGGCAAAACCTTTTTATTTTTCAAACTTCTAACTAGAAAGTGGACAGATGAGACCCCCTAATTTTCAGGGGCGGGGGCTCTGTGGGGAGATTCACCCCTCTCTATTTCTCCTGACGACCCTCGTCACTGGCAGAGAGCCGTAGTTAGCTCCTTCTGTGCCCGAGGCAAGAACAAAACAAAATGTGCCCCCCCCAACTGCTGGCGTGTGCTGTCACCCAGCGCGGCGCACGTCGGCCTCATGTGATGTCATACGCCTCGCCTCCAGTATGTGTTTTTTTTTAAATATTTTTTTATCTTTTTTTATTTATTTTTTACATTTTAATTAACCCCTTCGTGACGGGAGACGTACACTGTACGTCACATCAGGAAGTGCCTATATGACTGGCCACGTACACTGTACGTGACCAGTTATTTGAGGCTCTGTAATGCCGGTAACAGCTGATTCTCAGCGCTTACCAGTCATTAATGTCTCAGTATTGAGGCATTCATTAATTAAATAATTAAGCTTTTGTAAAAGCTTCTTCCTTTCAGTAATGAAAGAATGAAGCCGTTACATGCAAATACAGGACCGCTATTAGCAATCCCGTATTTGACAGCTGCAGAGAGCAGAGAGGTAGCGGAGTGACTCACCTCTCTGCTATTTGTTTTGACAGCTCGAGAGCCCGATGTTTAGATACATTTCACTAAAGAGATACAAGAGATACAATGTATCTCTTATGAGTGAAATGTATCAGTTCTGATCCTCTAGGCACCATCAAAGAGCTTTTAGGGAGATCTGAATCTGGCTAAAGTCAGGATCAGTCTCTAAGGTTACTATTAGCTGTTCCTAAGTTTGGAGCAGCCTAATAATAGCCAAAAATTAAAAAAAAAGTAAATGTATTTATAAACTGACCAACAAAGTGTAAAAAAATTAAAAATAAAGTGTAAAACAAAATTAGGAAAATAAAAATTATATATAAATATATTTGTTATACTATAATTAATATAAAAAATTCTAAAAAGAAAATAATGAAAAAAGTGTTTTCTTCTAGTTTATTTCCTCATTTTATTATATTTTATTCATCCTAA